ATTTGTGGCGTTACTACGCACACAAGCAAGGGTACTGATCACTGATCAATACATACATGTATACATTTCTAACAGCGTCTTTTTATGCTGAAATTTGTTGTCATTATTTCGGGATTTTTTGTTATCACGTCGTAATAACCGGTGATTGACTCAAAAATATGAAAAAAATCGTCGGCATAAGCGGATTGTCGTTAAAAGCGGAGACGTACTAAGCGGAAGCTCTTTCATATAAGTTTGTTTGGGGACCAACCAAGACATCGAATTTTCGTCGACATAACCGGTTGTACGCTTTAAGCGGAGTCGTTATAACCGGATTCTACTGTATATTATTTTGAATATATTTGAATATATTATAGCACTTTCTAGTATTTGTTATTTGGTATATTTTGTAGTACTTGACCTTTTCTTGTGTATTCTAGTACTTCTTAGTACTTCTATTGTAAACAAATAATTCATTTATTCTTTTATAATATATTATACCATTTGTTCATCACTTTGTAGCATTTTTAATTAGGTATATTCTATAGTATTTTATATTTTTCAGTATTTTACATAATTCTTGTGTATTCTAGTATTTTAAAGTACTTTTTATTTCAAATAAATAATACTTCTCATTATTTTATAATATATTAAACCATTTGTTCATCACTTTGTAGCATTTTTAATTAGGTATATTTTGTAGTATATGACATTTGCTAGTATTCTACATGTTTCTTGTACATTCTAGTATTTTGTAGTATTTTTTGTAGCTATGCATATGCATTTCATATTTTCTAATATTAGCATGTTCCACTTTTATATTGATTGACCCAACAAGAGCAACAGCATAACGAATTGCATAAAAAAAAATTGATTAAAGTATTAAAGTTGCAACTATTTTTGCTGTAAGGCCACTATCATGCCATTTAGTAGGACATAAAACATTATTCAAATAGTGGCCTTCCCTTCGCTGGCAGAGCTTCAAGCTTGAGCATCAATTTGGAACGCCTCGCCTTAACGTTCCGCGCAGAGCGTATCGAATGCTCGCCTCGACCTCATTCGAAGTGCTGGGCTTGTTAGCGTGAGCCAAGGACTTGACGTTGTTCCAGAGAACATAATCGAGTGGTGTTAAATGTCAAGATGACAGCTGAGTCGCCAAATTGCTGCTTCACAACAGTCGAGCTGGAGCTTAGATGGAAATTTGAAGAATGGCTTATGAGAAAAGTTACGGCAAACTTCGATAGATGATAATTATCGATAACAGAAATGTTGATTGAGATAATGACTAAATATAGATATGTATGTATGATACTCTGTTGCAGGTGTTGGCGTCATGATGCTCTTGGTGCTGACCATCGAGCGTTATGTCTCCGTCTGCCATCCGGGTTTCACGCGACCCGTGATGGGTCCGCCAGGGTGAGTATGGGCAGTCCGACCGTGCCGTAACTGTATCCCATCTAACTTTTGCACACCGTTGCCCCACATTGCAGCGTGGTTGTCTTCGTCACCTGCTTGGTGACCTTCATCATCTACTTGCCGAGCATCTTTCGCGGCGAGCTCATCAAGTGCATGCTGACCTCGAACAACGTGTACGTGTATCTCCGGCGGGACAACAACATCTACCAGCGCACCATCTTCTACTCGGTGTACAAGATAATGCTCGAGGTGATCTTCAAGCTCGTGCCGACCGTCGTGATCGCTGGCCTCAATTTGCGCATTATGCTCGTCTATCGCCGGACCTGCGAGCGCCGCCGTCAGATGGTCCTGTCGCGCGCCACCTATGTGAAGGACGACGATCCGCGCAAGTTTGCCGAGGAGCGACGCCTATTCCTGCTGCTCGGCAGCACCTCGATCCTGTTCCTGCTCTGCGTCTCGCCCATGGCCATACTGCACATGACCATTGCCTCGGAGGTGCTGCCCAGCTTTCCGTTTCAGGTGTTCCGGGCAATGGCCAATCTGCTGGAGCTGATCAACTACTCGATAACGTTCTACATCTACTGCCTGTTCAGCGAGGACTTTCGCAACACGCTGATGCGCACCATCAAGTGGCCGTGGCTTAAGGGCAAGCTGTGCCACCAGGTGGATGAGGTGAGTGCCACACCGCCAGCAACGGCTACAGCAGCGGTTTGTAATCCAGTTTGCCCGACAACTCTTCACACAGACCACACAGGCCATCATGGGTGTTCCAATGGTGCGATTCGAAAAGGTGAACATGCGTAATCATCACATCACCACCACATCCGGCATTGGACGGTCCAGCAGCATATAGTCCCGGCCTAACACTCCCCCATCCTCTGTGTCCTCGCCCACGCACTCACCCACACCCACTGCCACGCCCTCACCCTCGCCCCCGTCACCAACTCCGCCCCTCTCTTCGCCCTCGCTCCCATCATCGCCCACGCCCACCTCCTCGCCCTCGATCACATGCTCGCCCACACTCTCGCCAGCTACCACGCCCATAACCTTACCCAGCCCATTTCCGTCACCACGTCACACCGCATCGAGCAACGATCCGAGCGTGGTTTGAAAACGCCAAATCCACTCGATTGCTATCAATGAATCATCTCGCTTTCGACATATTATTACCTAACTACCGGAATATCCCAACTACTCGCAATACGTAAATACGTAAACCTCTGGACACATCAAAAACTCTTCATGACGCAACATTTTCAATACTTTTCATCTGCTTTGTTCGAGATGTAACAGAATTCTTTATGCCTTTCACAGCTCTCAATAGACCTTTTAACTCGATTTTACAGATTACAGACTATAAACCAGACAGACCGATCAAGACAAGCAAGTTTGAGTTTGAAGTTTAGATTGAGAAATTTCCCACAGAGAAGAAGAAGAAGTAATGCATATGAAGCACTCTACTAATATATATAATCAACGAAAATTATTGGTGTTGTTCAATTTCGATGGTAGAAAATGAATTTCCAAGGAAAACTTAAGAAAATATACAACTTTACGGATAAGAAAAAAACAAATATGAAAATCAATATTCAATACAGGTTATAAAATTGCGAACCAAAGAATTTAGATAGACTTGAAGGAGAAGAGGGAGGTCCTTCAAGGCTTAGAGCATCGCACGGAATGGGGAATGATGTGGGGACGGAAGACAGTTCAAGCTCCGCACTAAAAAGCTTGGGGTGTATTTTGGGGCTTAAAGCGACGAAATTTGGAGTCAAGGTGAACGCGCCTAGAAACTAAGCGAAGCTTACATCAGCAGCGAAAAATAAGACAGAGATACAGAGAAAACACATTCAATTAGGGATAATGCAAATATTAAAAGAGAATAATATAGATTATAAAAGGTGAAGGGCCGAATAGGCAGGGGGATTCATCGAAGAAGGGGGAGGCAGTGGAGTAATAGAAGCAGACAGTCAAAAGACAGTTCAAGCCGAACTTGGGAGTATAAGAAGATTTTTTTTTTAGCAAATTAAAACGAAAGAATTTGGAGTCGAGGTGAATGAATCCAGAAACTGAGCGAAGCTTAAAGCAGCATCAAGACAAAAATGGAGGAAAACGAGTTATAGTTACAAATGAGATTTATTCAGAATTATATATATAAGAGAGAGAGGGAGACAGAGAGAATAGAGAAAGGAAGAGCGATAGGGAAAGACAGATAGAGAAAGAAACAGCGAGAGGAAAAGCGAGAGAGAGATAGAGAGATCGAAAGAACGAGAGAGAGAGACATAGATAAAAAGAAAGAAACCGAAAGATATAGTGAGAGAGACAGAGAGAGAGAGAGAGAGAGAGAGATAGAGAGAGTGGGAGAGAGAGAAAGAGAAAAAGATAGAGAGAGGGAGAGAGAAAGAGAAAGAGAGAGGGAGGAGAGTGGAGGAGAGGGATAGACAGAGAGAGACAGAGAGAGAGAGAGAGAGAGAGACAGAGAGAGAGAGAGAGAGAGAGAGAGGTGGAGAGTGGAAGAGAGAGAGAGAGAGATAGAGAGCGATATAGAGAGATAGAGAGATAAGAGCCACAATTTCCAATTGAAGCTGAAAATATTTAGCAGTTAAGTGAGAGAGACAGAGAGATATAGAGAGAGAGAGAAAGAGAGAGATGGAGAGTGGGAGAGAGGGAGACACAGAGAGAGAGAGAGAGATAGCGATATAGAGAGATAGAGAGAGATAGCGATATAGAAAGATAGAGAGATAAGAGCCACAATTTCCAATTGAAGCTGAAAATATTTAGCAGTTAAGCTTCAAAATTAGCAGAAAACGACAGACTGACAAATGACAGACTGACGGACTGACAGACTGACTGACGAGCTAACTGACTAATACACAGACTGATAGACAGACTAATACGTAAATTGACAGATAGATTGACTGTTATAAAATATAGAGAGATCCACGAGAGATATTTTAAAGACGTCCGAAAGCGATATTCAAGAATGATATCAGAGAAAACGGAGAGAAAAGGTAAATGAAGTGAGAAGTTGAGCTGAGTCAGAAGACATAAAGACAGATGAACCAGCATGAGGACGAACAGACTGATGTGCGAGCAGACGAACGGATAAATGGACGGAAAGACAAGCGGACGGACGGACAGTCCATTGCGAGTGCAAAAGAAAGAGCTTAGCTAACAGAAGAAAAAAAGTATCACAATGCATTTAACTAAATCGTCGAAGCATTTAGATATTCATAAGCATTCCTACATAATGAAAAAAAAAAAAGAAAAACAAAAAAGATATCTAAAAAATATTTCAATATTTTTGTGTGTGTCACCGTAGTAAATGGCATTTAAAGAAATAACCCCCAAAGCCAGATGATGTCTAATGCCATATAGCTATATGTCTAGTCTAGTTTTAGAAGCATTTCGAAAAAGACAAGAAGATGATGATGAAGAAGAAGAAGAAGAAGAAGAGCAAAAGCAACATCACAAAATGAGATTAAAACACGAATATGATATTTATGTAAACTGATATATTTATGTATCTATATAGACAAGCGCGTATTTATTGAAATACACATGCATGTGTGTATATCCATATGATTATGTGTGAGCGTATACAACAATTGAATATATTTATATATACGTATATATTGATCTATTGAATGTAGTACTTAAGTGCGTGCAAGTGAGTCTCTGTTCGAAAATCAAACGCAATTCTTGAGTTCGATTTTGACTTTTGATTTGAAACATTCGTCAGACGAAACGCGTTTCAAGTTGAATACATACTAGATTGTTAAACTAATTTTAGTACTATTTGTATGCTACTGAATTAGGTTAGTCGATAGAGAATACTTTGGCTAGTCCTTATGTGTGCTATGGATGCTAAGGATCAAGGCTTTACCTGCCATAAATTAATTTACTTTTAGTCTTATTGATAGAGCGTAATACTCCAAATTTGTGTATACCAGAGAAAATCAATATCGAAAATAATCGAGATGTCCAAGATATAGGATCAGCTTTATGATCTGATATCTCACATCTGGTTCGATTTGTTTGTTTCATCGCATTTAATATACCCGCTTTGAGCAGCTACTTTTAATGGGTATCCTTGAAATCTTCTCCTGACTTCTGTTGCCAAAACTAATTTTGATTGGTTGAGCAAAAATGTTTCGAGTACGCAAAGAATTTCAGATGCTTGCAGCACTACTTAGTAAAACGTAAAGAAGAAATAAATGTGTGTACCTAGCGAATAACTGTGCAAAATGTTGTCTACCTACAAGAATCTTAAAGAAAAATGTTTCAGTCGGACATGACCGACTACACAATGCTCGTTCACAATGGCGTTACGAAGGAACAAGGAAGGAATTTTTATAGAGCTCAGTTTCAAATCAATGATTAGCAATTCTATATCCTCAAATATACCCAAATAGAAGAACAATCAGAGATATTTTCCGATTTAATAGATCATTTTGTATCATAGATCTACCTGTGTGTAGAGCGCCATCCTAAATAAATAGTAGACGAAAATCTGAAATGGACAAATCTCTAAACGAAGCCTCTCCAAGCATTGTGAACGAATATGAGTTATATACAAACACTAAATATACATATATGAATGTCAAAGAAAACAGTAATTATTGAAAAAAATAAAATAAAATAA